TATATATTTCTGTTTTATACTTCGTTTATTCTGAAATGTTATATTACGCACCGAACGCATTGTTTTAAAGTAAAATCGACTTTATGGAAACTACCATAATATCGTTCATCATTCCAATAATTGGAAATCAATTCAAATCGAAATCTCTGTGAATAGAAAGCTCCGAAGAGCTTTCTAATCGATTTCATGGTGCATTTGTGATGACATGTTCGCTTTTATCGATCACCAACGCTAGTCATTGCGACGCCGTCTGCGAAACGCGTCGTAAATCCGTAGAAGCAATTTCTTTTACTTTATAACTATTCGTGGAAACAAGCAAATATCCTTTCACTGTTATTTTACACTTCCTATTACAAAGTAAAATAGAAAATAAAAGATAAACATAATTTCTTTTCATTCATTATATTGTCTTAACAAAAAGTTATATAAAATATTAGACAAATATATTGTTAACTTACAGAATATCTTAATTATGTTGTTACTGATATATATATACATATATATATACAATATCTTATGATGATTAATATTAGTAATTATATAATTAAAATATCTTGTAATTTACAAATATATTTATATAATTGAATTATTCTTTCTCAGATACGATTTCATTCGCAACTTAGATTAAAATATTAAATAGACAACTTACACTTTTTATTTCAACAACAAGATTACACGCTTGCGATTTTTTATGAAATGTTATTATTTAATCATATTCATTTTTATTTAAGATGTTGTAACTGTAATTAAAGATTAAGGATATTTTTTATATAGTAAAGGCAAGAATTTGTTGACAATTTAACGAATTGTTATAGTTATGGTCTTTTCATTTATTTAACATTGTATAGTTGTGCTTTTATTTATAATTTACCTTTGTAACATTGAAAATGACCCGATCGGAGTCGAAACGTTTGTTAACTTTATGACTCTAATTTAATTAAATTAAATTTGTTTGTTTAAATATTGGTTCTATGCCCTTTTTAATTGTCATATTTTTTTACACATACGGAACCTTATAATTACTTATTATATTTATATAACTTTTCGTTTAACATTATATATGATTAAGACATAATACAATAAATAAAAGAAAATTATGTTTTTCTTCTATTTTACTTGTTGATATATGTATGTACATATATATATATAAACATTTTTTTAAGATCTTCTTATAATTGTTTTCCTTCTTCACTCTTATAATATAAATAAATTAAAACTAAATCTTGGCATTTTTGGAGTGTAAGCTGATGTTATGATAAATTACCGTAACGCAATAGTGACTCAGAAAATAATTTAACTACGGCATCAGTTCAAGTGCCATTGTACGAAAACACGCGCGTTCAATCTATCTTATAGGCAGCGATTAACTAAGGAATTTAATAACGCGCGCGAATGTTGTGGCGGGTCGCGCATGTTCAGGTCGGCACGTGGAAAAGCGACGCGTAAAAACGCACCTCCTACACTTTGGGTAAATGACGTAATATATTATACGCCGCGCTTACGCTGATTATATAGAACAAAGGAATTTCGGTTAATAGGAAACAGCGAACTTTTAACAACTCAAGGATGTAAAAGAGTGCATCCCTTGTGGGATCAGCAATATTTACGATGACGTTTTTCTTAAAAAATTACCTGTCTTCCTAACATACGTACGTGCGCATGACCGTGTGAAAAGGTCAAACGAGGTTCCTGACATTTTACATTCGTCCTACTGAAATTGGGTTGGCGCCATGAATCCTCTGGGACCGAAATAGGTCTTTCAAGCATTAAGCGAATTCACGACTAATTGGACGTCAATGTAACTCTTCAGGCGATTAAAGTGGTTGCTGCTATTGTACGTTTAGAATAATATAGGGATATTGCTTATCTCGAACTAAACATTTACGAACGAAATTCGTACGAACTTTAAGCTGACAGCCACAACGTTGCATATAATTTATATTTTATTGATTATTGATATATTAGTAAAAATCTATTTACCATCAAGAGAATTTTGAATCAATAATTAAAATTCTTTTAAACAATGGATATCCATTGAAACTCATATTCTCAGAAATAAAAAATAAGTTGTCAAAAAAATTTAAACAATGGAATGACCAGTGTAACACACCTAAAAATAAGATAACGGATAATAAAGGAGATAAAATCAATCACAGATTTTTTACAATCCTCTTTATACCATTTTTATCAGAAAAAATCAAAAAATTTTTTGAAAAAGACTCCTTAATACGAATGACATATAGGGGGATTAATAATCTTAGAGAGTTCATCAGTGGTCATAAAGATATTCGTTCCAAGCTACCTCATACAGATGTTGTATATAAAATTATTTGTCGAGATTGTGAAGCATCATATGTGGGCCAAACAGGTAGATGTTTGAAGACACGCATAAATGAACATAGAAATCACATAAATTGGAACACTTCACAGCATTCCGTAATAACAGAACACAGAATTAGTCATCAGCATGATTTTGATTGGGAAAATGTAAAGATATTAGACGAGGAAAGGGTGCTCAATAAAAGATTGATTTCGGAAATGATTCATATAAAGCAACAGAAACAGAGGTCGAATTTACAGAATGATATGTATTCTTTAGACCCACTATATTTAGATTTGTTTGCGGAAACGTGACGTTGTTTTCTCTCCTTTGTTCTTATTTTTATTTTTATTTTTATTTTTATTTCAATAACTACGTGACTTTATTACTTTGACTATCATTTCATTTCTAACTGTCGATACCACAAGACCTTTACGTCTAATTGCAAGAAACGCTTACATGTAAGTTAATAAAATTAAAATTCAGATTAATTATTTTAATAATTTTCTAATTGTGTGTGTGTGTTCGTTTTTTTATTTGAATGACTACATAGTAAATCTGATAATTGATGAGCGATGTGATTCTACTTTTTGACGCAACGTATTTGATTCCGTTTTTATTTTATGTAAATTTTTATATTATTATTGTATGAGTTAATATATTTGATAATCTTTTGGCTATTCTTTACATTGTTAATTTGGCATTTGGATAAAGAAGAACGCTAAATTGTCGGGAACCACCAGTTTGGAATTTGAATTAATTATGTAATTTAGATTTATATTTTATATTAATAAGGATCCAAATTGAAGGATTGAAACGTTTATATTTGATTCGTTTTGTTACATTCACACGAGAATAAAATGTTTTCTGTACATCCGAACAACAGATGGTAGGCTGTGATGGGCTTTTTTATTTTTTACTGATAGATTCTTTCGAGCCTCATTTTATATATATTTGATTATTAATATATTATCATAACAAATATATATATTGTATTATTGAATTATATTATAAAATATTCACATTATTAAAATACTTCTTTTATTAAATAATAAAATAATATAATAAGAACACCATAAAATGTTCATTCTTGAATAATTTTGGAGAGATATTAACTTAAGCAATTATTGTTTTTTTTTATTACACTTAATTAAGCAATATTTGAAAAAAATCATCATAAAAATATATATAATATGGTACGCAAGAGATGAAGCAAATTTTTCGAACAAATCGTTTTAACTAAATTTCAATATCATATCACGGTGTTGAGATTAGCTGATAATTATTATCTACTAACCACTATAATAGTTGTAGATCATATACTGAAACATTTGTCAAGATGGTAATTCAAGCGTGTAATGTATAATTTAATGGACGTTAATGTTATGAATTCTGTATTATAAAGGTCATTATTTTAAAGCCTACTGTTACCGCCAATTTAAAAATAAATTGTATGTATAGCAAGATAATTTCAACTCGCGCTTAAATCTTTTGAACAGAGATTACTTTTTAATTAGCTTGCCGGCCGAATAAAATGCTTCCTCTAATTTTCCGAGCTGCCGAATCAGAAATAATTAACTTGAATCCGACAAATTCGATTGTCATGATAATCTGTAATAATAAAAATTCGTGACGTATGAGTATTAATAAAATGGCTAAAAGCACTTTTGTAAAATCTCTTCATCTTTACTTTAACCAACTGGGCGTGGCATATAGATCAATACGATAAAAAAAGTCGCTTAATATCTAGACTAACAAATGGTTTTGAGTATTGCACGAGAAAAAGAATCCTGCATAGTGTTCCGCGAAATAACTGTGCCATCGTTTTCAAGAATTACAGTCGACGTGATTTAAATAGCAATCGAGCATTCAAAACGAAATGAAAAATTGACGAACTTTTTATACTTTATATATTTCACACGATATATTTTTTATCTTTTTTTGTGAATATATTTTTTGTAAATCTTGTATTTCAAACAAAATTAATATTTTTTTATATCGTTTTATTACGAAATTATTAAATATATATCAAAAAATTAATCTATTTTTAATAAATATAACAAGAATCTTTTGAAATATTTTTCTCTGTATAAGTTAAGTATAAACATTATTATAAGAAAAACATTATTATAAGAAGATTAATATGAGAAACATATCAGTTACTTCAACGCATAATTTTTGGCATCAGAACAAATGATATATCTATATATCTTTTGTAAATCCTTTCATCCACAAAATTAAAAGCACCGGGTATTAGTTTCAAGAGACTCAATTACTTACGCCAGGAATTAACCAAAAAAATACTATATATTTTACTTTGTTCCTGTTATCTTTTTTTACAACAACGTACTTATAAATAATATTGTGTATTGCGATCTGTTATAAAGAACAATGAAAATATTCTGAACAATAATTTGAATAGACAATATCTGTATGTTATAAGTCATAGAAAAATAGTTACTTGTTTACAACTATGTTTCACTGACGAACATCCCATAAATACATTTATAACATGTTAAAAAAAAAATGCACTTCTCATATTTTGTAAAATTCGAATCATAGTATAATCTATTGATTTATACGTTTATTGAAATTATTATTACAATTTAATGATTTAATAGAAAATCTCTTCATCTTTTTGGTCACAAAGTTAATAATTAACTCATATTTTCATGCGCAGCACGATGCCGTCCGATAGCATGGATGACATCGAGCTAAAAAACATTCAGTTGCAATTTCCGGCACTGCGATATCTCTCCAGAGATGACAGCTCTGTACGGGAAGAAAGGGTGGAGACCGACAAGGGAAGTTTGCTGGTAGCGGTGCAAGGAAATCGAGCGAAACCAGCTATCCTTACTTATCACGATCTAGGCCTTAACTGTAAGTAATTTATATCTAAAACGTTTTAAATGTAAAACTATATAATATTTTAATTTAATTAGTTACTCGTGTTATGAAAATTTTTAATTAATTATTTCTACTCTTATAAAAGATATAGAGCATATATTATAGTATGATTTCTAATACAAATTATTTTTATAGACATCTCGAGCTTCCAGGCGTTCTTTAATTACATCGATATGCGTGTTCTACTCGAAAACTTTTGCGTATATCATGTAAACGCACCCGGACAAGAGGAAGGCTCACCGACACTACCCGAAGAGTGAGTCGACATTATAAATAGTGAATAAGAGAAAAATATAGTTAATAATTAATTTTTTTAAATAAAGCATTGGCACTTTTGACTGTGTTAAGATTTGTTAAAGTATTAGTTCTCTTTATCATACTAAAGTTCGAAGTTGTGAAAGAACAAATTAATTAGTAGTTAATGAGTTAAATAAATAGATATTTCTGAGCTTCAATTATTTATATAGATATATATACATATATATATATGTACATGTATGTGTATACGTGTTATATACATATATATATACATGTTTTATTTCTCAGTACATCAAGTCAATTTGCATAAATCAGCGACCTAATTAGTTTTCAATCACAATTTCTATTTAATATATTCCAATGATAGCTTGGGTTTGTTTTCTGTGACTGAACTAGCGTACACTTTTGGAATTTAAAGTGAGATAGATATACGTTTGATATTTGTCGAACGCGAAAGACCGAGTTCAAGTGCAGTCTAGTGCAAAAACAGAAAACAGAGCACTTTATTTTGTTTATAAATCTACAAAATTTTGCGATTCAATAAAAACCGTACTCTTCGGCATATGAACGCTTATATATTACTTTATTGTAATATTGCAACTTATGCATTTGTAAGGATTCAAGCTTATCGATTGTTACATAATTCTTCTCTTTCTATGTCTAATCTGTTATTTTAGAGATACAAAATCGGTAAAATTAAAACATGCACATTTTTACAAATAATAATAAAATTTTTTTCTAACGTCATTGTTATGTTTGTACAAGTAAATGAAAATATTAAACGTACTAATATGTAAAATAAGATCATAGAGCCATTTAGAGAAATAAAATTAAGTTTTATTATAAAGGTTAAAATTTAAACTACAGCAAATAAATAATTATTCTGTAATGTCAATTGAAGGGTCGTAAATCTTAAATAGCTTAATGTTGGATTAGAAAATTATTTTAATACTTTTAAAACTTGAACGGTATTTTCTATGAAAAAGTTAAACGTTTCGCGGATTATCTTCGTGTCTACATTCATTAGCGAACTGTAATGTTTATAAAACGTTAGAATGCTAATGTTTTATAAGTAATGCAGTTTGTTTAATCAAAACGAGGAGCATCCTTATACTTAGGCTGCTTTTTGCATCCTGATAAAGTGAACTGCAATATTCACAAAACGTTGGTATTCTAACAATGGAGTTAAACACGAACATTATTCGCAAAATACATAACTTTTTTATAGAAAAATGTCTTTTTGTTATAATTAATTATGAAAATCTTAAACATTAAGTCTTATATTAAAGAAATATTTCGGAGTCTCTCTCTCTCTCTCTCTCTCTCTCTCTCTTAATTAAATATCAAGTTAAAGAATAATTTAAACTGCAATGCAGATTTGCATGCGAAAGTTCTATCAATTTGTTTTGTTCGCGTGCCAAATCTTCTAAAGACCGTATAAACTTTGATAAATACTAATATATCGGTTGTCGATTCTCTTACCGTTTATATTATAGTCATATAATATTTATTTGTTTCATAAAACCATGATAATTAATTTATAATATGTTTCAGTTTTACTTATCCGTCCATGGAAGAGCTGGCCGAACAGCTGCTCTTCGTTCTTGGCCACTTTGGCATAAAATCTGTAATTGGTTTCGGAGTCGGGGCTGGTGCCAATATACTGGCAAGATTTGCACTCGCCCATCCGGAGAAAGTAAATGCACTGTGCCTGATAAACTGCGTATCCACGCAGGCAGGATGGATCGAGTGGGGTTATCAAAAGTTGAATGTACGCCACCTGAGATCGCAGGGTATGACCCAGGGTGTTCTTGACTATTTGATGTGGCATCATTTTGGCAGGGTAAATACACAAACAACGTTCTAAATTTAAATTTGTAAATAAGATATATGACTCAGCGTGTATTAGATAATAGTCGTGTCTAAAACGTAAAAATATGATTTGGAAAGATATTACACTATTGTTATAACAGAGAGAAAATTAACAAAGGGAGTAGATAATTTTTTAATAAATTAATTATAATTTGTCATCGAGAAAATTTAATTTATTATCATTAAATGTATTCACATTTATAACTACGATTTCTGCAATATTTTCATATAGATACGCAATCATGAATAAAGATATAGATATGATTTTGTATTGAAATTTACATTATAATTTAATCTATTACATATACATTCATATACATATATCACTATAAAAGATTTTTTCACATTAACTCTTCAGCGTCACATTATATGTTTTGTAACGGGGACAACATATAATATTAATAAAAAAGATGAAGCATATAAAGTAAGAGACTGAAGAATTTTAAACATATGAATAATAAAATTATTTTATTTTCTAGATAATTAATATAATAAAATTTTTTGCAAAAGTTATGCAAATGTTATGAATTAAATTATAAAGTAAGCTTTAATCTATATAATTATTAGCACATCACTTTATTTAGAATAAAAAGTAATTAAATTATTTAATTATCCTGATAATGCAAACACCATCTATCTGTCCTCTAACGTCTTTTATGGGAGGTAATCGTATTCTGAACAAGATTAGGTATGCTCTGTGAAGCTAATAAACTGCGGGCTTACATGAGGCGCAAAATAATGTCAACCGAGTTAGCGCTCATGCGCGAACGCAAGATGAATTATCGACGACGAAGTTTAATCTTTCAAAGGTTCGTTAGAACATCTCCATGGAAACTAGGGATTACACTGACAGTTTGCTTTATTATACAACGTAAAGATTATTGCGTTCGTCAAAGACGACCTCTAACCTTTGAAGAAACAAGTATAAAAGTAACAGCAAATATCGATAAAAAAAAATAATGTTCATAACTTACGTACGTAGTAAGAAGATATTTTATTCATGCTTGAATCTTTCATAAAAGTTTTTCATAATTTTTGACAAAAAAGATAATTGAATTATAATGTAGAATAAAATTTACTCATGACATTGATATTAATATGCACAGAAATAAAATGCGCTTTATTTTAAGTATATTATGTTATGTAAATTATTCTTTTTACAATATACGTACCATATCTTTAATATATCACTTCTTTATTTTTGTTGAGGAACGATATAACATAAAGAGATTAAAAAATTATGTATAACACGATACATAATTAAAAGTTGATTAAAAATTAATGAAATAATATATAAATCGACACAATATGTATGTACATACACATTGTGCTAATATTTGAGTCAGTATGAGATTTTCAACATTGTTATTTGGAAAAACTAGAAAATATAATTTTTAAACCAAGCTAAAAGAATGTCATCGCTATTTCCTAGTTTTATATAGTTTCGTTGTTTTTCTTTCCATTTGATATTTAATAGGATTTATGGATGATTTGATTGTCAACGCGTTACGAAGAAATCAGATTGTAAACGTACGATGAGTTTGTTGAGCTTCGAAATTGTTTGATCGACAGATATAATAACCAAGATAGAAGCATAGATTATTTTTGATGATAAAGTCGCGTGCAACTTGCATATGTTTTTCTTATTAGCGTAACAAACTTTACATTTTGAGTATTGTAACAAATTTATGATGTAATTTATTTTATAGAAGCAATATTTAAAATTTATATTGCCCGATGTAAATCATATAAATAATCATTCATACAACAGTAAGAAGTAATAATACTAATAATTATTACAATACAGTAGTATATAAAGAAATCCGTCTTTTCAAGAAATAAACTAGTATTTTTGTAGAGAATTTTTTATTATGATTAGAAGGATAATTATTTGTAATAAATACTATTAACTGCTGCTTTTAGAAAAAGATTACATTGAAATTAAAAAACCATTTTCTACTAAATGTTTACTGGTTATATAATTTTATAAATAACAAGATAAATTCAAAGATATGAAATAATTTTGAAATTAATCTGTAATATGTAGCGATGTAGCATATATATTAAAATTAAATTGATTTAATTTTATGCAGGGGACCGAAGAACGGAATCACGATCTGGTTCAAGTATACAAGAACTATTTTGAGCGTCGTGTGAATCCAACGAATCTTGCATTATTTATCGACAGTTATGTTCGTCGCACGGATTTGAACATAACAAGGGAACTGGACCCAACGCGCAAGAAGGAAGGATTGACGCTTAGTGTGCCGGTGATGAACATCACGGGTGCTTTAAGTCCTCATGTTGACGATACCGTAACGTTAAATGGACGTTTGGATCCGACAAACAGTTCTTGGATGAAAGTAAGTTTTTTGATTACGTAGTTTTATGAAGCGCGTAATATTAAAATAATCAATATCTTACAATATCTTATATCTTACAAGGTATTATTAGAAATCAGAAAAGAGAAAGAGAGAGAAAAAAGAAAATTTAATAAAATTATGAATAAATAATTATTTTTCTTTAAAAATGAAAGGCCAAATTCTAACCATATATTCTAAATATATTTTCTAAGAAATTAAATTACATTAAATTGTGTTTATATATAGTTGCTTATACAATTAGTGCTTAATATAATATATATTACAATGATATCAACCGTCCAATGAAACAAACGTCTCCCTCTTTCTTATTAAATACAGATATAATATATTGTGGAATTATGATTGTATATCTCAAAATTTAATAATAAGCGAGACTTTCTATGTCAGAATAAACTTATTTCAAAAAGTGATCAGTTATGTTGGTTCTTCTAGATATCGGATTGCGGTATGGTATTGGAAGAACAACCGGGTAAAGTAAGCGAGGCATTCCGATTATTTCTTCAAGGCGAAGGATACGGTAAGTGAGCGTTTCGTGAACCACGTTTCAGAAATTAATCACCATATTACGCAATCAACAATTTTCATTAATCTTTACTGGTAACAAGTAAACGCGCACGCGTCGTCGAATTTCATAAAAGGGTATCTCGTGATCGCTTGCAAGCGGAAGTGTACGATGTCAGTAATTACTGCCAATCATCTAAAATAATTATGTCAGAATGACGATGCTTCGTTAGAAATAAACGTAGAAAATCTATTTTTTTGTAATTAATAACATGCATCTAATAAGGAGCAAAAGAAAAAATTGCGCTCAATCTGTTCGTCAGGTGATTGTAAATAATTATGTGCAAGAAAAAGAATAACTTCAAAGGCTTTGCAAGTGATCACATCATTTTTCGCAGGACTAGATGTCGAAATAAAAGAGCGAGAAATTTTGATTGCGGTCATGTATAGCATTAAGTTCACTTTACCGACTGCTACACCCTGTTACGATTAAAGTTTGGCCTATTGCAAAAAATACTTTACGTATATAAATATACTTCGAATGAATATGTCCTTAGCCGACTATACTTCTTTTAATGATAGATATTATACGTAGATTACGTCAGATATAATATATATATATATATATTATGATTTTTTTATTTTATTATTATATTTAAACGATAAAATCATGCTTACAGATTACTCAAGTTGTTCGAAAATATTAGAAAAAATTCATTGCAATATCTAACAGTATGTTTACTCTAAGTAAATATATATTAAATCGAGATACACTGTGTAAGATAGCTGCTGTTATAAGTTAAGGGTTTAGAATTTTGAAGTATCAAATTTTCTTTGTTCAATAATATTTTGCGCACATATTCCATATGTCATGGAGTGTACCTTTCTACTAAAAATCTATTGTGCTTACATATATATTTATGAAAACATTAGAAACATATATTTACACATAATTTAATAATTAAATAATGTTCCTTTTAATTAAACCTGATTTATTATTTTATTTATGTTTAGCTTTATAATCACAAAAACTAATCACAAAACACTATGCTTTCTCACAAATCGATACAAAATAGAATATGTAGACTTGATTATATAATTTCACATAATGACTTCTGTATCAGGAACTTCGCTCTTTAGTTTGATCCTCTTTACTAATTACTACAATAATTACGGAATTATAATAATTTATATAACAAACAACTGCGAATGACAGTCAAATTGCTGAGAATAAAGAATCTGTTATTTCTATCATCGTCGTTAACTGTTGTTGCAATTGTGGTTATTATACAAATATTTCCATGTTGTACAAGTGGCGCAAAATACTTAAACGTAATTGAATTCGGGTGTAACAGGGTTAATAATGTGTGTTTTCAATTATCACGACAATGCTAATTAAATGTACTACGACAAACTTGACAAATAAACTGCTTTACCTCTGTGTTAATTAATAGTGAAAGCTACCTGATTACACCGAGGTTCAAATACGTGTTCGAACATGTACCTCTATGATCGTTAAAAAGCCACTGGCTCGACTGATAAATAAAAAGTGACTTTAAAAAAAGATTGCATTGAATTCGTCTGTGAATTTTGCCATCACACTAATATTTTGAGCTATATTAGAGAAAAAGAAAAAGAGACAAAATAAGAAAAAAAGTATTATACATGTTCATCGACTTGCGCCTTTATTTCCCACGCGTCTCGGATCGATCGAGTGGTACGTATATATTACAACAATTTCAGCTGAACAGTAGCATAATTAGTTCCGGCTTATTTGCTGTTTCCTTTTTTCCGATAATTCCAAATGCTACGATCTGCGTTGAAGACGATATGCTTGTAATATAAGATATAGTATTATAGAATTAAATCTAATAAGCATTCAATTTGTGTGTCTATTGTCTAAAAATGACTTAAATTTAAACTCAGACTCAATAGTTATTCTTATTTTAAAATGATGCATATTAATTTACGAGAGATTAGAAAAATCGACGATGTAATTTTTCGAATGCCTAAAAATTGATTGTAAGAAGAAAGTATATTAATTTATTATTTAGGTGAATTATTTACGCGTTGGTAATTAAAGTTAGTTATCCACTTCATTCGATATCGATTTATGAACCTGAATTAAAAGACAATAGACATATTAAGATGATTTCTTTTTTAAGTGACATAGTTGACAGGTTTCGTTTTATCTTTGTTATTGATTGAATTGTAAGAAAGATACAATAACGTTTGTGTCGACTATGTCTCCTAAAAGGAAAGCAGCCTAAATTAACCTTTGCTGTATTACAACAACCACAGTATTGCAGCAATACTTTGAGCAAATCAATTGTTGCACTATTATTTTGCTATATTCCACTCGTAATTATTAAAAACAATTGGCCTATCAATGTTTCGCACGAAAAATGCTTTAAAAATAGCAGTTGCGAATTCAGTGCGCCTTATAGCAATATTCCGTTCATGATTTTTAAGGAGTGTTCGTTTTTATACGTTTTAGTGGTGAGATCCCCGCGGAAGCCCGTGAAGCCGACAACACCCGAAGGTAATTGTAATTAGGAATTGAAGGCCGCAAGGAGAGTCGAGCGCGCAGTTGGTCAATTAGGCCACGTCTATATGTTATGTAAGTCGGAATTCAAACTTTTTTCGGAGGTATGAAAGGTACTAACAAAGAATTATATGTCCTGGACCCCGAAGATTCTCAAAATAGATTAACTTTAATTAATTATTCTAATAATTGTCCTAATACCGTATCAATCTTGTCTATGCTGATGATAACAAGAAATGATGAAAATTTCTAATCGAACTCGTATCAAACTTTTCTACATATATCAGTGTAGATATATCGTTATTTTATTTCTATATACTTATTTTACATCTGTAACATTCCTTCTCTATACTTATTTTATTTCACGAACATTCATAAATTTTATAATGGCAAAAGTGCGACTATATACTATATATAAAGAATTTCAGAGGAACAAATGTTATGACAGACAATGAGTATTATCACATGCCCGGTGAAATATTTTATGATAAATTGGTTTTACCGATTGAGTTCTTCTGTTCCATAGTTCTGTGTAATCAATAGCAAGGTACTATCTTGCGATATTAACAGAAACCGACCTGTTGCGCTACACTCTGATACAGGTGATCCAAATTGAAGTATTCATTTTACATAAATAAAAGAAAAATTAACTCATTTTGCAACAACACACACTCATGTCTGGATACCTATCGTGGAACAAGTCGGAATGGAGTTTCGATTGGAATTATTCCGTTTTCCCTAGAAAAAAAAAAAAAACAATAGAAATGTAGGGAATAGTTGAATACCTAATTCCGGTCGGAATCCATTCCGACTTACTCCATAATATATACCCTGAACATTTTTTTTGCAAAATTGTTTTTCGGAAAAAAAAAACAATTAAAAGACATAACAAAATCTCGCACTTGGGCAATATAGAATAGTAAACAGTCCTTGTCAATCCACAACGTCTCGCTATACGCACACAACATTCCACCAACAATACACCTTTAAGTTTCTTTTTACTTTGCATGTGCGCTTTCTTTTATTTATATCCTTCGTTCAGTCATTTTCTACGTTTGCGTAACAAAATTCAAATAAACGAATATTGTAATAATATGCGCGTTACAGCCTCTTCGGGCGAGGTAAAATTAACGGAACGAAATCGAAGGTACTATCTTCCGGTATTTTCGTTTACAGTGGCCCCGCTGTCGCCGTTAAAAATGGCCGATTACAGACTGGCTTCATTGGAAGGACTAAATCACGTTTGCAGCAAGAAGATCGACTGGCCTACCGCGACCATACACATCACGGAGAATCCGATATCAGAGGCAGTCGTCTGTTAAATGTTAACCGCCGAATTCTACCACCACTCTCAATTTTCGTTACGTAATCAAACGAGCATAATCGAACGGTGAAGCGATTCAATAATTTAGAAAGGTTTCGTCGGGCAACGATCCTTCGCGGCACTAATTGTTGATTCCTTTCCGAAGCTTTTTCATCGGCACCACATTTACTTTAATCGCGATTTGCGCTGAATCGACCACACGCGTTCGAAATAAATGTTTAATTCTAAATGACTATGAAGTTAAGAGCTTTAAAGATAGAATTTACTACTAACAGATATCAGATCTTTTATCGATATTCTACTTGCTCGACATGCAATGTTGTTAGGAACAGTATTAAGGATAAATGAGAGAACAATATGTTACTGCTGCGTTATTGGATATACATATATAAATAATAAATTTTAATTTTTTCTTTCTAAACGGTTCAATGAATGGTGCAAAGCGTCTTTTAAGAATTCATTCTTTATCGCAAAAATAAATTTCTTTAATTTTTTAAATTTCTTTTCGTACTAAAATATGTTTATGGTTATTATTTAACATTTATTTTAATGAAAAGATTGTATTTTTTAATTTCGCAAATATCTTGTAAATATTTTAAGATTGTCACTTAACTTTTGAATATCCAACAGTTTGATATACAACTTTATATGTACGTAAGTATATGTTAATATATTAACAGTCATAATTATGACTTCACAAATAAGTGACACACAATAATAATACGTTTTACTAAAAATGAAAGAGTGATTTCCTTCGACATCGTGTAATATACGAAGAGAATATATGAGATCATGAGAGCTAATTTCAGAAAAAAACACTAATTGCTGTATAGGCAATTGATAATATTGAAAAATTACAATAAATCACGCGTAAGACTAAAATGTATAATAGCAAAATGTAAAATGGCACAAAAGGATGTCTTTGTTACGATGTTCTCATCATGCGTAAGAGTTTAAAACCGTATGGTAAGTACATCGTAGTGAAAGAAATCTTCTTTCCTAAAAACTAAAAGTAAATCATTTTGTAAAGAATTAATAAAAATCTTTAACTAATTGCAAAAACTTTTTATGAAATGATATCAAATAAATTCCGTTTTTGATATTCCGTATAAATTCTATATTTGCCATAGTATATACAATTGAAAATATTTTAAAATCATTAAATATTTCACTGATAGAAACATATCTTCTTTCTATATGTTGATACAGTCTATTTATAGAAGACAATCTTGTTTTATATACATAATGAAAATTGTGATAGAATCTTATTTTTCAGTTAGATTTTGCAATGTCAAAAGTTTTATTTAAATATGCCATTACGATTTTTTCAGTTTTTCACTTACAAGAATTTATAAAGAATCAGATAGTAAATCTCGAGCAAACATATAATCTTACTTTTTATATTTACAATATCTCTTTTCGTTATTTTACATAAATTGATTAATTTACGATTTTAAAATAAAATGGTAATAAATATGTATTAAATCGATGAGATAACTATAATGTTGATAATATTGTATGGATATTTTCGATGAATTAGTCTACATCTTTTAAAATTTAAAAATTATTTGCAACTTTGCAACAATCTCATCACAAAAGACGATAGCTTCGAAATTCAATATCCCCATTGCAAGTCCTTGAAGAAGGATATTTCTATGATAACCAACAATTTCTGTCCCTTTAAACAAGATAAGAATTTGTTTATTGCGCTGACGCACCGTTTGCATCCTTTCTTTAATTAATAACAAAAGAGACTGCCTGTATGAGGAAGAAATAAACGCATGCGAACGAATGCATATATGTACGAATACAGAACGAGAGAAAAATACGTAATTAGTCGTTACAAAAAATAGGGAATACAACAAACGTCAGTTTCAGTATCTCTGTGTGGTTTTACGAGGCTCGTTCAAGCCTCTAGCGTGATATGATAAGATGTGCCTGCTATAAGATGTGTAGATTTTCGAAGTTAAATCGCCTTTAATTTTTTACATATATGATTCAAATAAGTCCCCCGAAATTCCCTATTTTTCGCGCGTCTTCTCTCGAAGCGTTGTATTCATAAACTTATTTGATTGATTTAAAAAAGATATACGTTTATATATCATATAAAGGTATATTTTTTTTTAATTAATCTTAATAGTTCAATATATGGACACACATACACACACATAATGCAACTAAATTAATCGAATATATGCAACCTATTCTACCTCCGGGTCTCAATTATGATTCAAATAAAGAAGAATAAATAATACAAAATTTGATAACAATAAAGCTGCGTTCGGATTTTCAGAAATTTCAATCGAGTGCCCTAGTGTGCCATTCTACCTTTATCGATTATTAGACGTAAAATAAGAATAAAATGACACGTTCGAACACTCGGATGAAATTTCCGAACACAGTCTAACAAAATCAATTTTCACATGTAACGTTACTTCAAATAGATCTCTTTTGAAAAGAAAATTTGATAATTTGAACGATTCACAGATTTCTCTGATTTCACGGCAGGTAAGAATGATAAAATGATATGTGAGAATGACGAAGGAAGTCGAAATAGCGGACATCTCGTGGGACAGAAGGTTTAACCTTTTCATGTGTAAAAGAAAGTTTATAAAAATATGTAAAATAAGTTACACACGCGTTTAGATTATCGCAAATTAAGGCAACGATAGTCGAAAGCTTAGGAGAGCATTAGGATTGTGGGAATAAATTATGAGACAATTGAAGGAACACACGCATTAAACGTTGCTAACGCGAATGCTATATGAATATACATATAATGTAACTTTTAAGGACTACCGATGCTCCGCCGTTAATCCCTTCGTTTCCAGATAGAATTTCTTTATGGACATGGCAATTATTGGCATGAATTATCTGGACGCTCAAGACAACGAATTACGTTAAACTCATCGACGAATTGCTGAATTTATAATTAGACATATCGGTCAAGCAATACGAGATATCATTAAATTGTTCGTCGACTGATAAATCTTAATCGAAATATTCGCTCATGTTACTCGTGAGACGCATATCAGTATGGTAAATTTTTAAACATTTTTTAACAATGAAAAATTCTGTCAAATTTATATCTACATTTTAATTAATGCATCAATGTTATTTGAAAGAAGATGCGGTAATGCCGCTGGTTTCGAAGGGTTTAAAAGAATCATTCAGTACGCGCGATCGAGAGCAAATCGATTTTCAGTACCCACTTCTACCTCGTGAGAAGATAACACGATTTTCCTTTGTCGCACGACGCGCAAAGTTCGTTCTCGAATTTTCCAAGCGGTATCACGAACAGATTGCAGCGAGGTATATTATTCACTCAATATAAACGAGATATAGTACAGGGAATAAGCGAAATAAACTTAGCCAGAGCTTGATTACATGTATAGATATATATATATAAATATATTATACAAGTTAAATGACACGTGCGCACCGAATATATATGCATCTTGTTATTTATAATAAACGAATACAAAGAAAATAAATAATCGTTTAATTCCTCCCTTGTAATACGTCTATTTCAACACATAGCATTTTATATCAATAACAAAACATATCAAAATTAAATCAGAAAATTATAGATTTTTCAAATTTTAAAATTATTCGAATCTCTTACAAAACTTTTTATACATTTTAAGATAAGATTATATTATATAATTAACGTATTTGAAAGCGTTTACTTTATTTGTGCAATATTTGTTTAAATATTTTACTTTAGACCATTTATGCCCAATTTCTTCACCTCTAGATAACTTTATCCAAGAGATATCTCATCGAATACAATGGAGATATCTCCTGGATAAGGTTATCCGCAACTTATCTAAAAGTGAAGAAATTGGGGATTAGACTGTTATAAAAAATGAATTTTTCAGCTTTCATTAAGGAGTTTGCTCACCTTTTGCGATGGGCGTACGGTAAGGGAAACGACTCTATTTATGCATAGAAAAAAAATAAGACAAAATCATGAGACAAATGAAATCCAACAGTTTTGACAAAGGACAGCAATAGTTTTTTGATCTATTATTGGTTGTCACACAGAAATCGTGCAGCGAACGTTAATCGTGCTTTTACCAACTATTTATTGATATACAAAGTTTATAATGAAAAGTTTTTTATTCAGATGGTAGCATTATTTACAAAGTTACAACGAAATAGTCATCATGGCTATATATCTGTCTTATTCTTACTCATAAGAACATACATAAAAATCACGGCCTTTAGCTTTAGATTTCTTACAAACTATGTAGATAAATTCCTTAAAATTTTAACTGTGAATGTGTTATGCTTCTAAGAATTTAATATTGAACTTTCATGCAAATCGTAACATTTCCATTAAGGTGAGCAAACTCCTTAAGATGCAAAATATTGCGGCAACCTAACAAATTATTTGAATTTTCTATGATATTTATATACGGAAAAAGATTGAAGACAAATATTAATTGCGACTTCCTACTTGGGAATCATTGCTACAGGGAAATTAATGATTCGAAAAGGAATGAAAAGAAATTAACAGCATGATGAAGACATCTGCATTTTTATGAAGACTACTGTTATCAATTCTCAGGGTAATGGCGCTTCGTTAAAAATCAAGAAACCAGCTTAATTAAAACATTTTCGCTCTTCCGCACTTATAACCTCTCAGAATAATATGACGTTTTAATCTGTCTATATCAGCACTGCTCCGGATACTATTTTCATCAAATTGCACGTGCATATTTGCGATGCAAAAGCAACATTATTTTAATCGTTAATACGCAATTCTGAACAAAGACAGTTTGTTAGTTATCTTAAGAAGACGATATAAGACACGTGTGAAACGCTTTATTCAGCTGTCTGATTACTTTAGCATAGATATAGAAAATGTGATACATTTAATGGAAACATGTGATTTAAGTTTTAATTACTTTTACTGTGATAATGCAATACAATAAATCCGTTTATTTTCTTTGTTACAAAGCTTTGAGATTAATAAATCATACAGAAAATTATTTTCTATTACGAGTAGATACTTTGTAGAAATAAGATGTTTTATGTAAAACATTTTAGTATTATTGTAAAATAATATAAAACATAACATATTGTTTTGTTTATATTATAGTAAAACTGATTTTTTTACAAAATAGATTTAATTTTATGTAAAACAAACACGCAAGTAATCTAGCTTGTTATAAAAAGTAAAAATATAGAATATATTTTATATTTATTTATTTATTTATTTATTTATTTATTTATTTATTTATTTATTTATTTATAATTATAGTGGCCTACTTTAATAGCGATTTATAAATAGCTAGAATAGAAAATGATAAATATTAGTTGATATTAGTAAATTTGAATCAGTAACTTTCGTATTCTAAGGCTCGATTTCACAATATATGAATACCTAAAGATTAAAGGTAACCAAGAAATTCATGAATGAATTTCATTGATGAATCTGTTGGTAACCTTTAATCTTTAG